ATCGAGCCCCTGACGCTGGACGGGCTGAGCATGCTGAGCGACCCCTGCGCGCTGCTCACCGACCCCGCCGTCGAGGACTCCTTCCGCTCCGACCGCCTCCAGTGAGCCCGGGGGGGCCCCGCGCCGCCCCCGCCGCCCCCGGGCCCCGCCGCCCGCTGCGCTCCCGCTGAACCCCGGCAGAGCCCCGGGGCCGGCGGGCACCGGCGCCCGGACCCGGCTGGAGGGAGCTGCGGTGCCCCGGGGTGGGGGGCCGGCACCGCGACCCCCCAAGTCCCTGCCTGCAGACGCCAGCGCCGCTGTTCTCCCGGAAAACCCCGGGAAAAGCGGGCGGGGGGCTCCGTCCGGGCGCTGCCCGCCCCCACGGACCCTCCGGACTGTCGCTGTCGAGGGCTCCGAGCCCCCCAAAATTCCCACTCCGGGACTGCCCCTCGGCCGCAGCAGGAAAATCCTGGGGAGAGTGGGGAGGGGGCTCCAGTCAAGGGCTCCTTCTGCTCCATCCGACTCCAGCGAGGCTGGGGGGGGGTCCCCAGCACCCCCCAGTTCCCCCCCCCAGCTCCCACCAGGTCCTGTTCTCCAGGAAAACCCCGGGACCACCTCGGAGTGGGGAAAACTGGGGAGGGAGAGACAATCCAGGCACCCCCAGAACAAGCCAGGGGGGTTCCTCCCCTAATTCCCACCCCCAGACCCGAGCAGGCACCGTTCTCCTGGGAATACCCTGGGAAAATCGGGGAGGGGGCGGCAACCCAGGCCCCCCCAGACCCCGGCGGAGGGGTCCCGGTCCCCCCGGGGTGGCTGTACATAACCCCGTAGGTAGAGACCCCCGGGGGGGGCTGGGGGGGGGCCGCTTCTGCCTTTACTTTATCATTTTCCCGGCTAATCATCATGTTTAAGGAGAAATCCCGCTCCCCCCCACCAATATGTACCCCCAGCCCCCTCCCCAAATTACCCAGCTGCCGGGGACGTGTAGAAAGCACTTGTAACTTTGCCCCCCCCCCCCAAAATTGCCCCCCCGGGGGAGCACGGGGGGCCCGTCCGCGGGTGGGGGACCCTGGGCCCCCCCCGGAGGGAGCCAGAGTGATTTATTATTATTATTATTTTTTAAAATATATTCTATGTTAATTAAATCCCCCCCCCGCTGGCATGTGGTTGATTTTGGGGGGGCTTAAAGGTGGGGGTTCAGCTGCTCCAATCCTCCCCCCCGGCCCTGCCAGGCCTTTGGGGCTGGGGTCGGAGTGGGGAGGGAACACGGGGGTCCCTTAATGGGGAGGGGGGCAAAGGGGTCTCGTTTGGGGGGGCAGTTAGGATCCCTTACATGGGGCGGGGGGGGTGAAAAATGGGGTCCCCCACGTTCCTTGGGGGCTCCTTGAGTTTCCCGGGGGGGTCGTAGGGGTGTCCTGGGGTTCCTTTGGGGTGATCTGGGGGGGTCGGGGGGTCTCCTGCGGGTCCTGGGGTTCCTTTGGGGTGATCTGGGGGGTCTGAGGGGTCTCCTGCGGGTCTGGGGGTTCCTTTGGGGTG